GGTTGTACATGTGGGTTTTGTGGGTTAGGACCAATTGTTTGTTTGTGTGATTGTGCTTGCTGTGTTGTTTTAATAAATTGTTATTCTGACTTGTGGTCTCTCCTTTGAGTTGAGTTCATTTCCCCTGCTGGTTGACTCTTAAACCAGCACAATAAGAAAAAAGGTGCTTTTGTAAGAGGTTGGTGCATTAACTTTCTCAGTCATTTGGAACATAGCTTGGGTGGGAAATTGAGGCACCTCTATGGAAAATCCACAGATGAAGCAGAAATAAAGAACTTGTTCGGGACAGAACTAATTGGACTGCACTCTCTGTAAGAGAAGAAAAAAATGCTACTGAATGGAAACATGAGTCATGAAATAACCACCCTCAACATCACCACACTTGAAAATGGAAAGAAACAAAAAAGATAAAGGAGAAAGGGAGAGAGAACAATCTGATAATGTTGCATTTGGAACAGGCATGTTTGTAAATGCTTTTGGCTTCTAATTTAAACACAAACAAGAATGAAAAAGAAAATGACAATATTGTGGAGAATGAAAATGGTAACATGGCTGTTGTGTAAATGCTTTGTCCGTGGTTTTGGGATATGAACTGGACTTGTCCTGACTCCTTATAGAGTGATATCTTATTAATGAGATTATCCATGTCTTAACAGATACCTAGAAAAAAATCCTGTGAAACCATTCAAATGACATAACTGAACAATTTAATGTTCAAACCAACTCAAGACACTATTTTCTGAAAACTGCACTGTAAGTAGTTCCATGCTGGTTTTGTTGTAACAGATGATGTGCTAGGAATTATTGTGGTAGATATGCCTCATATAAACTATGGAATTATGTTGGAGGATTTGCATTTTATCCCCTCTGGACCTGTTTTCAACCTGAAATCCAAATTCCTTCTCTGTGCTGGTCTTGAAACGCTTACTTACCAATTTAGTCCAGCCTTGTAAAATTACAAAGCCCCCGGAATAATTTTTGAGGAACCATTTAAATCTAAAAGACCCACACTTAAACAAATGATAAAATCAGTTTTGTCTCACTGCTCCTGAAAACTACTGTTTTATAGTAGTGTCCTCTTTTTTAAAACAATAGCCAGTGTTTAGCTTCACCTCTGTGCACAAACTCGGGTTTAACCTGAGCCCTTCCCAGCACAGCTCCATGACCAGTGAAATGCATGTGCAGTCATTAAGAATTTGTTTACCTGCTGCTGTTTACGTGCTGGCAATTAAAATGAAGTGCAATGGAGTTTCCACCTCTGCACTGGGGAGATTGTCCTCTGAATCACCATGGAATTTGCTCCCTCTTCCTTCACACCCTTCAGTGTGGCTCACACACAGGGGTCTTGTGATAGAATCCCCAGCAGAACAACCGAGTGTGTTACCTGTCAAGTGAGATGAATTTGAGGACAGCTGGTGGTGTTCAGACATCACAAATCCAACCCTGTATTATCTTTATGAAACAAACGGCACAAAATCCCCCCCTGTCCACAGTTCTTGCTCTATACCCTGAAAGTTGCCATTCTGCTTGATAAGATGTAACCTTTCACACACTACAGAGGGTCAAGCCAAAGCCTCCAAGAAGATAATGTAGTTTGCAGTCGTACTTTTCCTTTCCCAAAGCCAGCAGGAAACGTGCCAAGTAGCCCTGCACAGTATCACTGGGAGACAGCTAAGTCTGCGTAGCTTTGAGAGCCCATAACTTTGCCCAGAAGCTTTAAAACTTACTTATTCCCATATTTTCTACCATGAAAATTTATTTATTCAGTGAAAGTTGTCAACTGTATAAGCAACAGCCTGACTGTGTAGGCAGGGAGTAAAATCTGACTGTATAAAACATAGGTCTCCCCAGGGCCAAAAGCTAAGCCTTTCTCATGAGACTGGAGATGTTTTTGTTAACAACAGGCCTGGCTTTTTGCTACAGATAACTCTGTTTCCTTAGCTACAAACTGTTACCTATTCAGAAGTGAGGGTTTATGTGAAAATGGGTATAATCAGCAGTCGGGATGTTTTGCTTATGCTTTTGCCCAAATGGTTTTATAACCTGATGTGTCACCAGCGTGCTCAGGCTTTTCCACAGGATGACTCTTTTTATTCTTTGCTTTTCTAAGCCTTTCTAAGCTTTTCTGGATAGATTATTACAATGCCTTCATTCCATGCTCCCAGCGATGCCACGGGATGGGATTGAGTATCTGCAGGGAGGGGGCAGAGGATGGAGCAGGCTCTGCTCGGGGGGGCCCAGCAATGGCACAAGAGGAACGGGCAGGAACTGATGGCCAGAAAGTTCCAGCTGGACAGGAGGAAGAACTTGTTGGCTGGGCAGTGACCCAGCCCTGAAGAGAGAACAGAGAGGGGGTGGAGTGTCCTCCCTGGGGCTATTCCAGAGCTGTCTGGACACACTCCTGTGCCCTGTGCTCTGGGATGGCCCTGCTGGAGCAGGGAGGTGGGACCAGGTGCCCCACTGTCGTCCCTTCCAGCCTGACCCAGTCTGATCCTGTGATTATTACCAATACTGGTGACTCTCTGGATACCTGTCCTGGCTGGAAGCATCCCTGGCTGCAAACTTTGTGCTGCCACTCATTTTTCCACTGCTCCATATTTCTACCTGTTCCTACTGGGAACACAAAAACCATGTTAAACGCAGTTGGACTCCTCCGAGGAGGCTCAAGGACGTGTCTAATCATTGTCTGCAACTCCCTGACAGGAGGGTGGAGTTCCCTTGTTCCTAGGAGCAGAGCCCAAAGGACAGGACAAGAGGAAACAGCCTTAAGCTGTGCTAGGGGAGGGTCAGGTTGGACAGGAGGAGGAATTTCTTGCTGGAAAGGGTGGTCAGGCCTTGGCAGGGGCTGCCCAGGGAGATAGATGGTGGAGTCCCCAGCCCAGGAGGTGTCCAGAGAAGGCCTGGCCGTGGCACTCAGTGCTCTGGGCTGGGTGATAAGGGGGGGGATCAGGCACAGGTTGGACTTGATCGTCTTGGAGGTCTTCTTCAACCTAAATGATCCTGTGATTCAATGATCCATATGGATCCCTTCCAACTCAGGATATTCTATGATTCTATTGAAAAAGCTACATGCCCCACACTGCCAACCCCTGCAGCAGTGACACACAGTCCCCTCACAGCATCACTACCTGTATTTTGAGTGCAATCCAACTGCTTTTTGGCAAAAAAGGGGCCAAAAACACCCTTGAAAGCCCCTTCTTGAGTTAGCTTACCCATGTTGGAGGACAAAGTGGGCTCTGAGGGAAGCTGTAGCCTCTGGCAGCATTCCTAGTTTGGGATGAAATTTTATCATGGAAAAGCACAAAGAAAGAGAACGTGCTGACTTTTTAAAAATCTATCTAAGCCAAGGCTTTTCTGATGCTGGAGATAGGAACACCTTATCTGAAGTTTTCACACAGCTCTGAGAAACAGAGATAGCTCTAAAGTTTACTTCCACATCCCCACTTGCCCGATTTCCTGCATGGCCCAGGTCCAGGGTTTTGCTGAGGCTTATGTCTTAATATTTAGCTAATTTAAATGCTAATTAGACTAATTTGTTGAATAAAACATGGTAGGGATTTCTTAACAAGTTTCTGCTACCGCTTTACATCTACAGAGAGATTTTCTAAAACGGGACACCAAGGACAGTACCACATCTGTTACCAGTCAAACAAGTTGGATTTTCTGTAATCCTAAATATATTGCAGAACTGCAGAGAAGATGGAGGAGCAGTGTTAAATTTTTGAGACCTAGCACATCTGGGACACAGGAGCCCATCTGCTCCATGGGGTTTGCTTTGAGTTTTATACGCAAAGAAAATGTACCTTTTCTCTGCCTCTCATTCCTTACTGCAGTCGATCCAGTTGCTCTGCCTGGCGTTATTGGCGCCTGCACAGAGAAAATAAACCTTTCCCCTCGTGTCTGATACTGCGGGTAAACCTCTATGGGTTTTTGGAGCTCCGTGCAGTCCGTGAGGCTCCAGAGAGGCGAAGGAAGTACAAAAATAGGGCTGACAGCTCATGGCTCCCCTCAGGGGTCCCGCCACTCCCTCGCCGGGTGCGAGTGTCCCGGGCTGAGGCGGGCGAAGCCGTGAAGGGACAGCTCTCTACGAGACCCCGGGCTGAGGGGCGGCTCCTAAGGCGGGCGAAGCCGGGAGGTGGGCGGCTCTGCTTCCCTCCGCCGGAGTACGAGACCCCCAGGCTGAGGCGACCTGTGAAGGGGCGGGTGAAGCCGTGAGGGCTCGACTCGGCCTCGGTACAAGACCCCCAGACTGAGGCGGGCGAAGCCCTGAAGAGGCGGTTCCTTCACCTGGCTATGAGTGTTCCGGGCTGGGGCGGTCCCGGGGGAGGGTGCGGCCGTGAGGGCGCGGCTCCGCTCCTCCCGGCTATAAGTGCCCCGGGCTGGGGCGGTGCCTCCCGCGGGTGAAGCCGTGAGGAGGCGTCGCCGCTCCGCCTCTTCCTGCTGCAGCCGCGCAGTCGCCGCCATGGCGCCGTGCGGGGCAGCCGCCCCTCTCCTGCTGCTGCTCCTCGTCCTGCGGCCGGCGAGCGCGGGCTTGAGCGGCTACTTCGGCACCAAGTCCCGCTACGAGGAGGTGAACCCGCACCTGGTGCGCGACCCGCTGTCGCTGGGTCCCGGCGCGATCGAGTCGCCGCCCGCCACCTGCGCTCCGCTGCAGCTCCGCGCCGTGCTCCGGCACGGCACCCGCTACCCCACGGCCGGGCAGGTCCGCCGGCTGGGCGAGCTGCACGCCCGGCTACTCCGCCGGCCCTCAGAGCCCGCAGCCTGCCCCGCCGCCGCCGCGCTGGCCGCCTGGCCCATGTGGTACGAGGAGAGCCTGGACGGGCGGCTGGCGCCGCAGGGCCGGCGCGACATGGAGCAGCTGGCCCGCCGCCTGGCCGCCCGCTTCCCCGCGCTCTTCGCCGCCCGCCGCCGCCTGGCGCTGGCCAGCAGCTCCAAGCACCGCTGCCTGCAGAGCGGGGCCGCCTTCCGCCGCGGGCTCGGGCCTGACCTCAGCCTCGGCGGCGACGGTGAGTCCGGCACACCCGACCCCGTTCCCTGCGAGAGCCCCGCGCCCTCCTGGAAGATTAAGGGAGTCCCACACCCTCCCTGAGGGACTCCCAGCTCTCCCGAGGGGGTTGAGGGGCTCCTGTGCTCTCACCGAAGGAGCCCCCCCTGCTCCCAGACAGAGACCCGTGCCCTGACTGAGGGATTCCCGTGTCCTCCCAGTGGGGCTGGGGAAGTCCCCGGGAGGCCTTCCCTGAGGGATTCTCTCCCCAAGGAGATGGGGCTGTCCCGTACCCTCCCAGAAGGAGAGAGGCTGAGGACTCAAAGAGGGTCTCAAGACAAGAGGGCATGGTCTCAAGACAAGAGGGCATGGTCTCAAGTTGTGCCAGGGGAGGTTTAGGTTAGATATTAGAAAGAATTTCTTTACAGAGAGTGTGGTCAGACATTGGAATGGGCTGCCCAGGGAAGGAGTGGATTCTCTGTCCCTAGAGATTTTTAAAAAGAGACTGGATGTGGCACTTACTGCCATGGTCTAGTAACCGCAGTGGTAGTGGATCAGGGGTTGGACTTGATGATCTCAAAGGTCCCTTCCAACCCAGCTAATTCTATGATTCTAGGGGCTGGCAGAGTCCTGTGCCCACCCTGAGGGAGCTGCATGTCTCCCTCTGAGAAACTCCCAAGCCCTCCTTGGGGGATTCCCGGTTCTGCCAAAGGGCCTGGGGGAGTTCCATGCCCTCCATGAGGGAGCCCCCAGCACTCCCTGAGTAGCTGAGGGAGATGCATGGCCTCACTGAGGGATTTCCAACTCTCCCAAAGGAGCTGGAGGAGCCCCACGCCCTTCCTGAGGGGTCGCAGGTGTCCCATGCCCTCCCTGAAGGGCTGGAGGAGCCCTATGCCCTCTCCACTGGCCCGTGGCTGAGGGAGGCCACGAGCCCAATGCCATGTCCCCCATGCCCAGGCTAAGGGGACCCCGCACTCTGCGTGCCCTCCGTGGGGACACTGCAGTGGTGGGCAGACTGTCCCCAGGAGGGTGTCAGGGTGGCCGGGCACTGGCGCCCTTGGGGATGGCGGTGCTTCTCCTGATGCCCACGTTTGTTTTCAGAGGTGGAGGTCCAAGTGAATGATTCCTTGATGCGGTTTTTTGATCACTGCGCCAAGTTTGTAGCCCTGGTGGAGGAGAACGATGCAGCCATGTGCCAGGTGAGCGCCTTCAAAGAGGGGCCCGAGATGAAGAAGGTCTTGGAGAAGGTCGCGAGTGCCTTGTGTTTGCCAGTGGAGGAGCTAAATGCAGGTAAGGGATTCCTGTTACAGGTGACTTTGGCTCCGAGTCTGGCCGAGAACAACTTCCAAGACTTATAGTTATGCAGAGTAGGTAATTTAGAGTGTGCTGTGAGCTGGAGACACAGCCTCTAATTAAATGCATGAGACTGTAAGTGTATGTTGGTGTTGCAGTAATGAATGGTTGTTAGTTACTGGTCAGAAGAAGATGATGTTTGAAAACATCTCTCCCTTAGATTGAACCAACTTTACCTTTGTTTGGAGGGATTTGAGTGTTATTCTTTTAATTCTGCTTTCTGGAGTGGGCAAGTTGAGAGAAAGTTGCTACTTGTGCAGCAGTGCTTTATCTTTTGCTTGTTTATTGGATTTGTTGCAGATCTTGTTCAAGTGGCTTTTCTCACCTGCTCTTATGAGTTGGCTATAAAAAATGTGACCTCCCCATGGTGTTCACTCTTCACTGAAGAAGATGCCAAGGTATGTGGGGCTCAGAGCAACCTGGAATAGTGGAAGGTGTCCCTGCCCATGGCAGGGTGTTGGAATTAGATAATCTTTAAGGTCCTTTCCAACCCAAACCATTCTGTAATGTGCTAAAAGGGAGAGATATTTGAGAAGCCTTCAAAAGATGCCATAATGTTCAGATTTAACTCTTTGCACAGTCAGAAGTTGTGTTTTGTTAAATCAAGAGGCACAAAACTTACTTTGTTTTCCAAAGAGCTCTGAATTGATCAAGCAGCAAGACTGAAATATCCTTTATTCAGACTTAAGTGCTGGTGCAGTCTTGATTTGTCCTGATATAAAGTGTCTTTTCCTGTTGTGCTTAATTCGTATAATACTTATTTCTGTGACATCAGAAAAACTCTGGACAGCTTTCATATGATAAAATTTATTCCAGATAGAATGATAGAATTTATTCTGGAGGGCATCAAATGAAGTCTTCTAGGGTCTCTTAAGACTCTTTTTATATAGTTTTGGGGACTATCAGATACCGAAATTAAATGCCTGTTAATAAAACCCAGTAGAACCCAGATAAATGAGACAAATGTTTGTTTTTCCTCTTTCAAAAAGTGTTTGATGTACTCTTTGATGTTCTGTAAGGCTTCCCCGAGGCTGTTAAGGAAATTTCCACCCTTAGGAAAGAGAGGAGACCTCTGCATGGGTAGGTGGTTGGCTAAAGGGTAGGCAATAGAATCAGGAGGATCAGGATCACCATGGGCTTCTGCTGAGACCCACTCTGTTAGATGTGTTTATAACTAACTCAGCAGTGAGATGGGAAACAACTTTGATGGCAGGAACTATAAGCAAAGGAACAGAGAACAGGGAGAGCACTGTGTGCTCCTGCATAAATCCAAGGCACAATTGTGTCTGTTTGAGGTGTGTGCACATCTCCAGAATGTCAAACCAGAGAAGCTCAGCTAAAGGTGTGGGATGGCTTCTGTGGGAAGGGTGGTGAGCTCAATCAGAAATGCTAAAAAAGCAGTGGATAGTGGCTGTCTTGTGATGTGCAGCACCTCACCTGGCTGTGAGGGTGGTCAGATGCTGAATGTGGTGATCTTCAGCCTGATCTATTTTTTTAGATCTCCTTTTATGCTGAAGTTTCAACTGGAGCCTGCATGTTTGGGGTTGATTTTGCGTCAGCTTTATCCATTTCTTTCAGTGTGTGGCAACATCATTCCTCCAGGTTGGGGGGCTTGTTTTCCCTCAGAGCTCACAGATATTTATTATTGCACTACCTTTAGGTCCTGGAATACCTGAATGACCTGAAGCAGTACTGGAAGAGAGGGTATGGCTATGACATCAATAGTCGCTCCAGCTGCATTTTATTCCAGGATATCTTCCAGCATTTGGACAAAGCAGTGGAAGAGAGCAAAAGGTAAATCAGAAGGCATCAGTGCTTTGGGTGTGAGTTTTCTGTGGTCAGCCCTGAGCTGGATATCATGTGAATAGAAGCTCAGTACTTTACTTCCAAATATGACAATATTAGAAGGGTTTGAGCCAGGTGAATTTTAACAGAGATAATGCAATTTTTAAGGGAACAGTATTACTTTGAAGTGTATTTTTTTTTCATTGATGCTCTTGTGCCCAGCTCCTGTAATTCCATCTTTTAACTTGCTGATCCACAGAGGCCTTTGTGGACAGCCAGCTGCTGTCTGATAGTGATGTTCTCTTCCTACACAGTTTGAGGAGAGACCATTGAGTTAAAACAATGAGGTTGTTTTGTTTAAAGTGTCCTTGTTAAAAATCATGTGTGGCAAAAATGGCAAACTGTGGGCTGAAAGCACCCCCATGACACATTGTGGCAGTCTGTCTGTCTGTCTGCCTGTGTTTGGCTTGAGTCTCTTGTGTTACTAAACCTTTCTGTTCACGTTAAAGGCGTTGAAATGCAATTACAGAAAATAACTATTACAGATCAATCCCAACAGTGACTTTTAGACCAGAACAGGCTGTTGCAGGATCCAAGAGGCTGGAGAGGGAACTGCAAACCAGCCTTCTTGTAACCTGCTTTGTTGGAACTAGGGAAGGACAGACTTTAGGGGATATACTCAGTGTCTTGTAAGAACAGGAAAAAGACACTTCTGAAATTGGGTTCACATGACAAATCAAGCCATTTACAACACAGTCAGTAGTTCAGCCCATCAGTCTGAGACCTCTGCCTGGGGTATTTAGTTTCCCACTGTTTAGGATGTTTGGTTTCCCATCCTCTCACAGCAAAGACATAGTTTGGGAGCAGCACTGGAGCTGTAGGAAGATATTAGGCTTTACAAGCAACTGTTAGTAGACTCGAAGATGCAATACCCAGGTGCCCTCAAAGGCTGGTGCCCTGATAAAGTCATTTGTCTTGGATTATTCCCGGGATTTGACAAGTCACTCTGTGTCAGTGGAAGAACAGTAGCAGTGGCACTCCAACCACTGTGTTGTGCAGTCCTCAAAACTGCCTTTGTAGTGTCATGGACCTGACTATCCCTGTGCTTGCTCAAAAATGACAGGGGAGATGCCTGTGCTATTTTTGGGTGGTGTTCACTCCTCTGAGCCTGTAGCAGTTGGGGTTTGGGAGCTGTTTGGTGTTGTTCTTATCTTGTGTGGATTGGTCTGATGGGCAGAAGTAAAACAGGGACAAAACTGGGATCAGTTTTGATTCAGTTACAGGTTGGGATGTCTGTGTCACAGAATCACCTGCATTTGCTTATGTGTGCTGATAACTTTTTTTGAGAAAGTTGCTTTAAATGGTAATTTATGATCTGTGTGCATGTTCCTCTTGCCAACTGAACAATTACAAATTCATAGTTCAGTGATCAGTCACATGAATTAATACCTTGGCTGATTAGTATGGAAATGTTGAAAAAAAAGTACATGATATCAAGGATATGACCATTAGATTGTATAAATACTGTGCCATTAAATACTTGCTAAACATTCATAAGTAACTTTGAATTGCAACCAGCAAATTCAGCTTTGGGGTTGATATGTAAGCATTGGACCCTTCTAGAGCCAAGCTGGGTTGAGGAATTGTGCTGTGTTGTCTGGAAGTGGAAGGTTGGTGTGGGAATGGTGAAACCTTTTTGGTAGTGATGGAGTTAAAGCAGTGGTTGTGCTACACCACTGTTTATTTAAACTCCTTCATCCTTTCTTCAGCCTCCTAGAAGAGCTGATGGGAAAATCCATTAGAACAGGGACCATTGACACCCTCTTGAGAACAGAGGATTGCTGTGTCTGTCAGGATGATCAGGAAGAAGTGCAGGTTAATAGATAAACAGAAAAGGAAGGCCCTTAGACTGCTCTTTCCTTCTGAAATCTGGGGGGAAAAAAACCAACAAAACCAACCCTGAATCACAGACTTGTTAAGCATAGAAAGGCCCTTGAGATCACTGAGCCATGTCCCCAGGTGCCACATCCAGATGTGAGGATGTACCTTGAGTCATCAATTTTGTTTCCTTTCAGTGGAATTTACTCTTTGAACAGTGACAGCCTTTCCATCCATGCACTGGTCACAGCTGTGTGTAAGACATCCCTGTAAGTTAAATAGTAATTTAAAACCCCCAAAAAAGCTGTAAGAAAATGTTCTTATTTCCTGAGAACTGGCTCAGCAGTGCTGCACTAGGAGCTGGGAAGAGCAGAGGTTTAAGGTATCCAAAGGAATGGTGTGACTTCATCCTGCCTTCCAGCCTTGGCTGGGGAAGTTCAGTTGCAATCCCTGGGGCTCTCGTGGTGTTTTGCCACCACAGAGGGAAGCGGGCAGTGAGTGTGAAGGGTCGGGACCCTAAATCTTGCAACATTCCGAGCTGGGTGAGCGGACTCGAGGATGAGCATCCTCCTGAGCAGGAGGCGGCAGCTCCCGGGGTGCGGAGCCGGGCGCTGAAGGAGTGTGTTACTCCGCTCCACAACGGAAGGTGGCAGTCGTAAAGCACCGGAGACACGGGAATAACCTGGATTGGGTAACCCTGCAGAGGATGTGGGAATCTGCCGCGGTGTTGGAACGCCTTGTCTCTCTCGGGATCTAGGGAGCGGAGGTGCGGCTAATCCTTTTCCAACTGGGAGAGAGGCTTAGCCCAGATGCCGCGGCCACGTGAGAGTACAGATGAAAACAAAATGTACAACACCAGTGTTAATAACAGAAAATATTTGTGTGTGAGCATCTCTTCTTTCTCTTTACCGTGGTGTTCAACTTCAGGGCCGCAGGTTAAATATTTTTGCAGCAATTCCTTACTCAGAAAATGAACTTTTGTGATGACAAAATGTCTCTTAGAGGAATGCTGTTCCGATTTGACAGTGTTTAACATTGATTTGTATCTGGCTGTTTGCTCTAAAAACTGAAGAACAGGAAATTTACTTCCAATTGCCCCAAGATCTCTTTTCTTTCTGGAAAGCTTAGATTGGGCTATCCAAAAGTAGAAAGAGAAGCATTTCTGTTCCAGCAAGAAGCTGGGGGATCTGGATTATCTCTTCTGCTCCAGGCTTGGCAGTAGAGAACAGTGTTGGCAAGGCTGTATTTTTGTAGAATACTTTATGTATTTCTGTTGAATAGCTTTGTCCTGTTTTCATTGCCAGTTACTACCAAATTAAAAAGAGCAACGTTGCTTTTATTGTAACCCTTTTTCTTCCATTAAGTGATTGCTGACCTTGCAACCTGCTCACCTTCTTACCAGTCTGTAAGGAAATGTCATGAGCCCATTTGTAGGGAGAGGTTGGGGAGCAGGGCTCTCTTCCATACCAATTTTCTTAAATACAAAAAAAAATTTATTAATTGTTTCACAAGATTTGCACATAAAATGAAGCCAGGTGATTTGCTGTGCTGAAACAGCCTTCTTGGGCAGTTGTCTTAGTCCATAAAACACCTTACTTTTGTGAAGGCATAAGAACTGTAGTTTTCCCAGGTCTTCCTGCTAGGGATAGAAAATAGTCAGCTATGCAACTATGTGGCAAAGAAATTAACTGGGAATTCTTCCTCACTTTTGATTTTCCCAGTAGTTTAGTGAAGAGTATTCTGTCAACAGTGTGTGTTGATGAGAAATCTGTGTGTTTTGGTAGTTAATGTTATATGAAGCTGCTAATCTGATTTTAAAAGCCTTTGCAGCCACACACTTGGGCAAGGGTGGATTTGCAAATGGGTTGTGGCACAATTTAAACATATCAGCTATTCACTATAACTGTTTTAAACTTTTTTTTTTTTTCCTTTCTAGCTTCAAATATTTAACAATTCTGCCTTTCTTGCTCGTGAAAGAATATGAAATCCCAGTTATTATGGATTGCCATAAGGATCTGGAAATTGGGAGGCATGCTTTGGGCAGCCTTCTCAGTATTTATAGTATGGATGGGAAATACCAACCAGGCTACACATATACATTGCAAAATATTTGGGGGTTTCCTCTGAGTGAAAGCAGGTTCAAGCTATTTAAAAAAAAAAAAAAAGACTTATCTGAATGTAGTTCAAGATCAAGTGAAGGTGATCTTTGTGAGTTATACCAGGCTAAGCTGTAAGGTAAACAGACTAATTTGGCAATTTACTGGTAGTTTTTATTGTTCCCTGTAATTTACCATCCTCTTTCAGGTCACTTCCCCACGCAATTGGTCACCTTTCAGTAGTCATTGACTGCTGTGCTCTCATTGCTCCTCCAAACCTGTGACTCAGTGCAAAAGAACACAATGAGTGATCTAAAATCACTTAATTATTCAAAACTCTTTTTATAGCCTGTACAAAGGGACCAAAGCCAAAGCTTCCCAAAAGGGAAGTAGAAATGAAATAATTTAAAGAACCCTTTTGTTCAGATTCGAATTGTTCCATCATTTCTTTTGCTAAAACCCCTTTGTTGCTGCTGGGATCCCACGTTTGCACAGTGCAGGGCTGTGGCTCTGGATGCATCAGCAGGTTCAGGCTGTCCTGTGAGCTGTTCCTCTGTCTGCCTACAACTAGATATTTCAAGTGTTTCTTGGCCCTTTCAGTCTCCCCAGGATGTGCTTAAATCCCTCCTTAGTTACCCAATGCCTGCTTGCTCAGGACTGCCCTGAAAAATATCTCAGCAACTTTTATAGAGTTGTATCCTTTCATGTAAGCAATTAAAAGCCCAAACAAAACAGTAACAAAACTAACACACCAAGGGACTGATCTAAGCAGTGTCCACCTTGGGCAGGAAGTGGCAAGACCCTCTTGGTTTGGTTTGGGCTGGTTATGGTGAATCAACACTCAGCTTCAATGTGCTGCTGGTGCACTAATGCATCTCATCTCTGAGGTGTGAAAGAACAGAGAGGTGGGATCATCCAAAAAACCAGCCTTTAGAAGTGCAGAAGCTCTGAAGTGAAACCCAGTAAAGCCTAATTAGCTGAGTGGTTAACTCTTTCAGGGCTCGATAAGAGCTGTTGGTTTTTAATGAGCTTTGT